CTTATAAGAACATATTATACACTTGTAATAGTGTATAATAGTTCCACCAATCGTTTATATCATTTGAAAAATGAAAAGAAAGGTTTTGGGATTAAAACTCACTTTAGAGAATTAAATCCGTTCCTGCGCGTTTGTGTTTTGTTTGGACAATATGGAAGTCTTCCACTACTTCGTTTGATGCAAACCAGACCTTGACAGGTTCCTTATCTTGAGATATTTCTTTAGGCACCTCACACGCCTTGTTTGGATGCGTATAGCTCGAGATATGAACCAAACAACACCAACACTCTCACTGCTCGAGTTTGTACGCAGCAATTCACTCAACTTCGATTACTGTCTGTAAAACTCTCTCTTCTTGCACATCAACCACTCAATAATGAAACTAGACTTCAAGGTCTATCTAGGGACACCCTAACCTCCCCATTTGGATGAGTATAACTCCATTAATTATGGAGGGAGACAACCAACACACTCATTTTGTGCAGAAATAGACTAGGTGGCCCCAAATTTGATGCTAAGTATGTCCTGTGGAGCTCCTCTCCATCAGCTCCTCACTTACTTTTCTTTGAATTGCAAGTACTCAAGTCATGTGCAATGCTTCCCAATTGATCTCAATCAATTTGGGGTCCAAAATATCTACCAATACTTCCAAAAATGGAAAGATGGGTCCTATTGTTTTATCTTTGTCATAAATGTCTTTTTGTACTCATTATAATTTTAAAATTTATATAGACCCACTCAAATCTCTACATCATATTATTGATCTCTAATATGTGTAGGATAGTCCCAATAATTTACACGGTGCGTAATTATAAAAGAAAATCGTACTCCTATTATTTAGCTCAATAATGCCAAAGATGAGACCATAGGAGTTTGTATTCTTCTCTAATCATCTCATCACTTATTTATGACATTAATATTTATATTCTTGGGCTACTTTCCATGTGGGTTACCCTCGAGTGCCATTGATGTCAAATAAATTCAAATATGATTTCACACGTGCCACTATATTCGGAAGTTCTCCTAAGAAATAGGATAAGCATTTCTTATCTCCATAAATATTTCCGATCCATAAAAACTTTTCTTTTTTCAATTTGCATCCTATTATTTACGTTTAATTAATCTGCTTTTCATATGAAATCCTTTCTTAATGAAATCACTTTCGTCAATATGCACTTTAACGTTGATAGAATGCACTTTAATTCAAAATTCCAATTACGATTAATTAATTTCATGTTCCCATGTATAATTTGTATCGTTCACTTTATTTTTATGCACTAATAGACTAGTGCACTGGTGTTTAATTTACTTTATGCTATTCTATTAAAATATAATATATTTACAATTGTGCACCACAGGAATTTTAAAGTGCAATGATGAACATGTTATTCGCATAGGACTATGTTCCCTTTAGATATAATTATGCATCAAAGTGTAATTAAAGTGAATTAGAGTTAATTATTAGGACTTTGCACCTTCATGAAATGCAATGTGATGAGCATATAAGTGCATCAAGTAATATATCATACATTTTTGTAATTTTTTTTTTGTCTCATTAACATGCACTTTTTCTCTCATGACATGCACGTGTTATTCCATTAAAATGCATTTATATGCAAATGTTTATGTAGCAATTAATCTCATATATTTGTGCATGACTATCATAAAACATGAAAGAAGCATTCACACAAATACACAGGCTAAAAAGTAGTAAACTAAAAACGAGAAGATGGACCTTACGTGTTTAAACATGTGCAATAAAAGGTTGTTAAAAGTGCACAATATTTAATAGAAAATGAAATGCACTCATAGTACTTTATATTGCTATTAATTAATGGATTATAAGAATTATAATACGTAAAAAAGTAGAAAGAAAGAAATAAAACAAAAGAATAATAATTTAATGGATGAGTATAACTCCATTAATTATGGAGGGAGACAACCAACACACTCATTTTGTGCAGAAATAGACTAGGTGGCCCCAAATTTGATGCTAAGTATGTCCTGTGGAGCTCCTCTCCATCAGCTCCTCACTTACTTTTCTTTGAATTGCAAGTACTCAAGTCATGTGCAATGCTTCCCAATTGATCTCAATCAATTTGGGGTCCAAAATATCTACCAATACTTCCAAAAATGGAAAGATGGGTCCTATTGTTTTATCTTTGTCATAAATGTCTTTTTGTACTCATTATAATTTTAAAATTTATATAGACCCACTCAAATCTCTACATCATATTATTGATCTCTAATATGTGTAGGATAGTCCCAATAATTTACACGGTGCGTAATTATAAAAGAAAATCGTACTCCTATTATTTAGCTCAATAATGCCAAAGATGAGACCATAGGAGTTTGTATTCTTCTCTAATCATCTCATCACTTATTTATGACATTAATATTTATATTCTTGGGCTACTTTCCATGTGGGTTACCCTCGAGTGGGCCTAGGACACCTTTCTTGAATACTTACTATTTTTAGCAGGTTGGGCCCAAAATAATACTTGGGCTGCCCGACCTTTCTTAGTTTGTATCAAAAGGTTATGTATTATTATTTACATAATGTTCGGCTCTTATATCTAATAAGATACCCCAATTAAGTATTTGAAAGCACATCGCTAATATACGAGTTCAAACGGTAAAATGATCGATCATGCTTATATAAAACATTAAGGGTATGTTTGGTTCAAGGGATGTCAGATTGCCATGGGAATGTTAGATTACCGGGTATGTTAGATGGATGGGAATGTGATGAATGTGTAACTCATTTGTGTTTGGTTACGATTAAGGGAATGTGACATTAAGTTGTTTGGTTGAGTGATATCTTATATTGCATATTTGGTGAATTACTTAATTGCCCTTTAAATATTTGTCTCTTAACACATTAACTCATTACAACCTATAATTAAAGTAATTAAAATTTATAGAAAAATAAAACATCTTAATAATAATACGTAGTAATTAAAATCAAAACTAATTGGATTGATTTTAAGCAAAGTATGTTTAATTGGACAAATGACTAAGATTAGTGAACATTAGTAAATAATTTTAAGCGAAATATGTTTAATTTTCAGAGATCCTTATCTGCAGCCAGACATGAGGGAACCCAAGTTACAAAACAAACTAAAATTGAAGGACACTTTTAAGTCTTTAAAGAAGAGGATGATTATAGAGGGAACCCAAGTTACAAAACCCAAGCTGATCTCTGATACAGTTTTTGCAGCCTTCTCCATCTTAGCAGACTGCCTCATCTCAATATATCTATTTTCTTGGCAGATGGGGTCTTCAATGAGCACAAGGTTGGACTTAGGGAATCAATGTGGTTCTTACCCTCAAAAGTAACCTGTCTGTACCTACAAAGCATCAGAAAGGGTGTATGAAACACTTCTGATAATCAAGGCAAGGGAAAAGAGCATAATTGACCTTCAAAAGCTACCTTGACAGTTTTTGGTATATCAACAGTTCCAGAAGCTGCCTGTATTTCACTTTTCATTCCCATTGGTTTTGACAAAGATGTTACAAATGTTATTGGTATATCAACAACATAATTGACTAGTAAAACAAAATATGTTTAATTGCACAAATGACAAAAATTAGTGAACATCAGTAGCAAAAAAGTAAGTCAATGTTGCAACTTACAAGTTACATATCAGTAGCAAAAATACAATAATACAATTGCACAGAATCTATCACTGGCATTTGTATTTACTCCCAGGATGATCACAATGTACTAGCAAAACTAAAGCTTGGAGATATTACAATTCAAAATTAACCCGTTCAGAAGGATATTTAGAAGTCAAAGGTGGGCTGATATGGAGCCAAATCTCCCAATTGCTTTAGGACATAATCCTTTCTAAATGCCATAGGGAGAGCATAAAAGGTGTCAAGCTTGTGAGCATCTTTCAATATGTGCTCACCTGCATCCATCACTTCTTCTTTTGAGAAAGCCTCCAATTTAATGATCTCCTCAAAAATCATCAACTTTCTGTCACTCTCAGCAGCTTCTTTGCTAAAGAAGGAAGAAATACTTTTGAGGCACTCAGTGTTCTCCTGGTAAGAAGATGCAAACTTTCCAATCTCAACAACCAAATTAGTTAAACCGTCATCCCGCACTTTCCTCTTTTTGCTAGTCACAATTCCAGCTTTCTTGCTTGATGCCTTGCTTGTTGCTTGGCTACCAGATGCGGCATCTGCACTAGCCCCTGTATTATTCATTTGACCTTCACCATATGCACTTCCAAATTCAGTTTCATCATCTCCTACTTCATCATCTTGAAAATCAGTTTCTTCACCAACTTCATCAAGCTCTTCAATCGCATCAGCTGCAGTCTCGGCTCCTGCGCCAGTAGCTCGGTCTTTCCCAAACACCTCAACTAGTTCATCATAGTGTGGAAAAGGTTTGTTCCTTAAACCATGAGCACTTGGATGACTCTACACATAGGAAGGACACAAACAATATTAGAATTATATGGTAGATAACTATATTATAAGTTTTTAACTATTTCAGGAAAGGTATAAATACTCAACTCTAACCCAGTCATCAAATACATCCTTGGTACATGTCACACAATGGTCATCTTCGTTCCAACCAAAGCCACTTGTATGATTTAGCATTTCAGAAATGGCATGATATTGTTTTTTCAACAACTTTGTTCTAGACTCAATATGAGGATTAGCCCTAATATCAGTTCCAGGGAGTTTCACTTTTATCATCTTTTCTAGATGACCCGAGTATCCAGTTTTGAAGCCATTTTCTCCTTTCCAGCAAGGGTCATGGCAGAGATCAACAAGACAGTCCACTAGAGCTTTGTTTTCAGAATTTGTCCATTGATGCTTAGTAGCAATTGATTTCTTGACACCGATTCCTTTTTGTTGCTTAGTAGTTCTCTTTTCTTTCAAACTTTTCGGATCCATTTCCTGTACTTATCATCACAAGAAAATAACATATAATACTAACAATAAAATGATAAATTCAATACATATTAATATAATTAAAACAAGTATTTAATTAACAAAGAGGAATTAAAATTAAACAGAACAGATTACAAATACAACACGAATATATAAAGCATATTAGTAGTTTTTTGTCCAAATAAAGTTGAAATAGTAAATGACATTAATAATTATGTGTCCAAATAAAGCTGAAATAGTAAACGACATTAATAAAGCATCACTATTAATTATTTGTCCAAGAAGTGAACATATCATCAGCTAACTTGTCTCTCCATTCAGTCCAAGCAACACTAGGCTCACAATGTCTTATCAACTCCTCATCATCACCAGAATCATCATCAGTATCGCTCTCAAGCTCAGCCTCAATAGGATCAATGGACATCTCAGATCTAATGAAGTTGTGAAGAATGCAACACGCAGTGATGATTCTGCATTGAGTTTTTAATGGATAAAATGATTTATCTCTCAAAACCGCCCATCTTTTCTTTAAAATACCAAAACATCTCTCAATGCAATTTCTTGCTTGAGAGTGTTTCATATTGTAGTATTCTTGGGCATTTACAGGTTGGGCACCTTGCTTCCACTCGCTCAAATGGTACCTTTGACCTCTATATGGTGCTAAAAATCCTTCACCGTTTGTGTATCCAGCATCACAAAGATAATAATTCCCTATATATGGCAGTTTAAAGTGATAATTAAAATCAGAATAAACAATTCTTTAACTTAACATATGGTTTCAAAGTTATCACATTATATATATATATATATACATATGTTACCTTGTGGAACCTTCAATCCGTGTTTCCTATTAATTGCATCTCTGAGTACTCTACCATCTGCAGCAGAGCCCTCCCAACCTGGTAACACGTATATAAATTGCATGTCTGGTGTGCAAACACCCAAGACATTAGTAGCAATTTCACTTTTCCTTGTTCTATATCTTGCTCTCGCCTCCGCAGTAACATGAACCTTGATGAATGTACCATCTAATGCACCCAAACAACCCTTAAAACATCTCCATCTCTCATCCATGCAAGTCTCTGGTATTGGTTCTGGTTTCTTAAAACATATGCTATGCAGTCTTATAACAGCATTTAAAACAGACTGGAAATGTCTACTGACTGTTTCACCTGACCTTGCCACTTGCCGTTTCAAAACCCTATTCTTTATATTGTGTCCAATGATATGAAGAAATGATATCACCATTTCTTCAATGCTCATGTTCCTGCTTTCCCTCAATCTACCAACGGTTCTAAGCAAATAACATAGTTTTTTTAAGGCACGCCTATCCATTCTACAATTATCAACACATGAAGTATCGTTCTCAAAAGCCATCTCCCACAAATTCAATGTCCTTAAGTTATGTCTCCTATTGAACATATGAGCGTAGCTAATTCCTCTCCTGTTATTACTTCTCTTAATAAGTAAACAAATTGCAATGAAAATCATCATGAGAAGCATGTTTTCCATTTCCATCATTTGCAAAGTTAAAACAGTGGCCAAGTGCATCTTCTTTTGAATTGGCAATCGAGCCATAAAACCTAAAACAATTATATAATACATAAGGCTCAAATATGTGGACAAATACTACTATATTCTTTAATAATTACTCAAACTAATGCACCAGAATGTACATTTTGAGTTTAAATAGCACTAAAAGGAAGATATGACTCCCCTGCTCTACTTAGAAGAAGGTTAAAGAAAATTAAAAGAGGATTAATCATAAACTACCAATTAAAAATTAACCCTATAATCTGATTTTTTTTCCTCTTATCTCTGCTCTACGTTTCATTCTACTTAAAAGAGGTTAGAATACTAAACGGAGTGGTGTAAAAGAGGTTGGTCACTTTATTCACTTTTCCTTTTTCCTGTGTTACCTGTTCTTTTTTTTTTTCAAAGGAAAAAAGTTGGCATCTTTGCCTAGCTTCCTATAGTTCACAATCTTCCCATTGTTTGTAGTGTTTATACGGTGGGGAAGTGGACTCTGCTTAAGTATCATAATAAATACATTATTATTAATGGGGTCTAGTAAATAACTTAATAAAAGATAAAACGTTAGAATAAAGGTTGTTAAGTATAGATGTGAATATTAATACATGTATCTTGATGATGGCCTAATATAATAGTGACTATATTGGAACCACTGAACTAAATTAAACACCGAATTTGATACTGTCATAAGTGTAGCCTAAAATCTAATATTTGGGTTGCTTGAAATTAAACCAATGCACGTGGTATAACTTAGCTGGTCTTTAATGACTATAGCCTAGAGTAATTTGTTTCATTTTCGAACCCAAAACTATCACAGATCAGGTTACCCAAAAATAGGTAGCAGATTGACCAGTTCCGGTCCATTTTCTGGCTCTGAGGAGTACTCTTCTCATTTTATCATCCATAAGCAAGCCGTTGGAAACAGCTATATTGCCATTGAATGTAACCCTAATTCGCACTTAATCGTGGATTAAGTTTGTGGTTTGATTGAAAAAGGAGGGAGTAGAAGAAAACATACACAAACTTGAAAAATAGAGAAAGACATTACTTGATTTTGAAGATGGAGAGCTGTGCGGGACGTTCCTCAGAAGAAGAGAGCTGCGGTCATGTGTTTCAAGCAGGAAGAGAGCTGCGTATAATGAAGCGTAGGGTTTTTTTTGGAAGAAAATTATGAAGTAACCGGGAATCTTATAAAACCTAAGCCTGTGGTGGGTTTCACATAACCGGTTATCTGCTTACCTTTTTTTACTTCTGGGCATCTAACATTCCCAAAAAAAAAAAATCAAACCCGCGAACCAAACACAGGTATCTCACATTCCGGACATCAGATTCCGCCCTATATGTGATATTACCTTCAACCAAACACTGCCTAATCGTTTTACAATCATTTGACAATAGGAAATTCAATACATAAACTTATGAATTTTAAATTGAGTTTCAAGGACGTTCGGGTGCGGTGTCACATGTACGAGGCTAATGTTTTAGCCGACTAGGTCGATTAGTACTCCCCCATAGTTAGGGACCACCTAACACATGAGTAAATCATTGTCGAATATTCAATATTCAATAATATTATTTGAAACAATAATTTTATTAGGAATTTATTTTTTTACATCTATAAAATATCTAGATATGATTTCTTTCTAGAGTAAATATTTAAATGTACTACACACTTTTTTCAAAAATAAATATGACTACTCATTATAAAATCTAAGCATTTTTAACTTATATTTCAATATTATATATATATATATATTCAAAAATATTATATATATATATATATAGAGAAAAGATCCTGTCCAGACGTCCGGACAGGAGCCGCCGTCCGGCCGGCGGCGTTTGGCCGCCTTCCCGGTGGAATTTTTTGATGAAATTTTTATGGAATGTTCTCCATCAAGTCTAGTTTATCCACAAAAAAATTCAGCCAAAAACTCAATCGGGAAGGTCGTCAAATGATTTTTGCAAGTTAACTGGTCCGGAAAATACATATTCCGGACCAGTTAACTTGCAAAAATCATTTGACGACCTTCCCGATTGAGTTTTTGGCTGAATTTTTTTGTGGATAAACTAGACTTGATGGAGAACATGCCATAAAAATTTCATCAAAAAATTCCACCGGGAAGGCGGCCAAACGCCGCCGGCCGGACGGCGGCTCCTGTCCGGACGTCTGGACAGGAGCATTCCTCTATATATATATATATATATATATATATATATATATATGGAACGGTTCAGGTGAGAACACCCTCTTAGGAGAGGAAAAAAGAACAAGATCGGACCCTCCATTCTCTCAATCGTGCGGCTGGGATGACCAAATTTGTGAATTAAAAAACGTACATGATACAAGGAAAGACCTCATTTCATTAATTAGGAGGGGCATTGATGTCAAATAAATTCAAATATGATTTCACACGTGCCACTATATTCGGAAGTTCTCCTAAGAAATAGGATAAGCATTTCTTATCTCCATAAATATTTCCGATCCATAAAAACTTTTCTTTTTTCAATTTGCATCCTATTATTTACGTTTAATTAATCTGCTTTTCATATGAAATCCTTTCTTAATGAAATCACTTTCGTCAATATGCACTTTAACGTTGATAGAATGCACTTTAATTCAAAATTCCAATTACGATTAATTAATTTCATGTTCCCATGTATAATTTGTATCGTTCACTTTATTTTTATGCACTAATAGACTAGTGCACTGGTGTTTAATTTACTTTATGCTATTCTATTAAAATATAATATATTTACAATTGTGCACCACAGGAATTTTAAAGTGCAATGATGAACATGTTATTCGCATAGGACTATGTTCCCTTTAGATATAATTATGCATCAAAGTGTAATTAAAGTGAATTAGAGTTAATTATTAGGACTTTGCACCTTCATGAAATGCAATGTGATGAGCATATAAGTGCATCAAGTAATATATCATACATTTTTGTAAATATTTTTTTTTGTCTCATTAACATGCACTTTTTCTCTCATGACATGCACGTGTTATTCCATTAAAATGCATTTATATGCAAATGTTTATGTAGCAATTAATCTCATATATTTGTGCATGACTATCATAAAACATGAAAGAAGCATTCACACAAATACACAGGCTAAAAAGTAGTAAACTAAAAACGAGAAGATGGACCTTACATGTTTAAACATGTGCAATAAAAGGTTGTTAAAAGTGCACAATATTTAATAGAAAATGAAATGCACTCATAGTACTTTATATTGCTATTAATTAATGGATTATAAGAATTATAATACGTAAAAAAGTAGAAAGAAAGAAATAAAACAAAAGAATAATAATTTAAAAGGATAAATCCTACCTAATGGATAAGAACAGAGAATTAAATGCATCACTAAAATAGGAAGAAGTAATACGGATACAATGAGTGAGTAAAATAAGGAAACATAGTAAAATGTCATATTAGTCCAAAGAGTGTTTCCGTGATTCTTCCTAAAACTAGATTAATCTAACGATTGTTATTTATTCTTTTTCCCTCTCCTAAGATTAAGTTCTCACATGAACCTAATAGATATTCATAATTAGATATTACAATAGTTGAAACAATAGGTTATATAACATTTCATGTTTGTTGTTTTTATAGTAAAGGAGGTGCCACAAGGGCCATAAGGGTTAGGTCTCGTGTTCGAATCTCAATATTGAAAGCTTTAAAAACAATGTTTGTTGGTGACTTTGAAGGCTGCCCAACATTTCATAGTGTACACCAACGATTGAAACACATCCATGTGAATTTTTTGAGTGATTTTTCGGGTCTTCCACGTCTCTTGGGTTGCGGTTGCTCCGGTGATGGAGTTTAATCCAACTACGGTGTACGAGAGCTAATCTATCAAAACTGAAACACTGGACTTTGGATATTCTTAGTTACTTGGGCTTTCTCTTATTTGTTGGGCCAATTTCTATTTTGTACATATTAGACTGACCCGTTTATATTTAGTATATATCCTCCATATCGCATTAGTTGCAACATTGCAAATTACACACTATTCATGTACTTTATTTTGACTACATTTTATTTATAAATGTATGTGAGTTATTTTTTTTTTGAAAAATATTGTTGAATTCGTCTCATTAAAAAGTTTCATAATCTGATTTTTAATTATTTTTTACTAATACATAATTAAATATAATGATGGTCAAAGTTGGACGTTGGCAAACGTGAAAAGTGAATGTTGCAACTAATAACTCTGACCTCCATTCCTTTCCATTATGATAACTCCAATAATTCTGATCTGTCCACAGTTGATTCCACAACTTTTATAGTCAAAAACTCTAACTATAAGAAGAAATCTTCTATCATTTCTAAGAACAGCTCCTGGCTTCAAATTCCCACCTACTTCTGTCAAGAATACTCATGCCAATCTAGCTAATACCTCTACTGAGTCTTCTTCTACTGACATGGAGCTTTGTGATCCTTCACTCTACAATAAATTTCTGGAGTTCATGAAGACTCAAAATGATCAATCTGCTTCTGCTCATGTTGCTATGGTTGTTCATATTCATGCTCAATCTCCTGGTGATTCTTCTTTCTTAGGTAATCATTATGTCTTTTTATCTAATGTTCAACCCTCTATTTGGATTCTTGACATTGGTGCTTCTGATCATATTACTCATAATTTCAATTTATATACTTCATCACCTGAATATATTTCTATTAATGTTCAATTACCTATTGGTTCTTTTATTACTGCCACTCATATTGGTGACATTAAACTTAATGACAATCTTACTATTCATAATGTTTTATATGTTCCTCAATTTAGTTTTAATCTTATATCTATTTCCAACTTAGTATCACATGAAAATATCTCTATTCATTTCTCTTCTAATCATGTTACTTTGCAGGATCTTCTCACCAACCAAATGATTGGTTATGCTGTTCTTCAAAATGGGCTTTATCTCTACAATCCTGCCATATCTTCTCTTCCAAATAAACAATCTTCTATTGTGAATGTTGTTAATACTCAATTCTTAGATAATAAATCTGATGTTTGGCTTTATAGATTAGGTCATTTTCCTTTTAATAAACTGAAATCTTTTGTTGATTCTACTGTTCAACATCATATGAATAAACCTATATTTTGTGGTGTCATTTTGCTAAACCACTAAGCTTCACAAACTGCATTTGCTGCTGCTCTATACTCAGCTTCAGTTGAAGACCTAGACAAACTTCATATGCCTACCTTTTTATTGTTTTGTATCTTGCTTACGTTCTGTGAATATAATATAAGCCACCTTCTTCCAAAAAACATACTCCCTCCGTCCCGAAATTAACTTCCCACTTTCCTTTTTAGACAGTCCCAAAATTAACTTCCCACTTCTTCCCACTTATTTGGCAAATTATCTACATCAAACTAGAACAAAACAGTTCAAAACAGTGTCAAACAGTGTCGAAACAATGTCAAAACAGTAAAATTTACCACCAAGTAAATTTATGTTCTCATTATGTGTGAAATCTAAGTGAGAATTTAATTACGAGATGGAGGGAGTATTTGCGGGTTATTTGTAACCAAGCGGATTATTGGGGCGGTTCACTGGTTTTGGTGCCGATTTGGCCGGTCCGGTCCGGTCGAATGTCCAATTTCTTAAACGTAGTAAAATCAGGGAGTGATGAGTAAAAATAAGGAGTATGAAGGAAGGAGTAGGGGTGGGAAAAACCGAACCGAAACCCGGAAACCGACCCTGGACCGACTCAAATTATGATCCCGGTCCGGGTTTTTTCTTTTTAACCGGACCGAATTCAAAAAAAAACCGGACCGAACCCGAAATTCCGGGCTCATTAACGGGCCTTAAAATATATAACCCGGCCCGGACCGAAAAAAACCCGAAACAATTAGCTTTAATATAAAATTAATATGATATATGAATATAAATTTATAAATATTTCCTAATATACGATTATAATCATGGTGGATAAATAAGTGATTTTGTAACTTTTAGTGACTAGAAATTTGTTCAAATTTTTAGCGTAATTACCATGAAAATATATTTGTAGCAACTCTAGTCACATTTTTATCTATAAATTTTATTTCGTAATATTTTTAAGAAACCTATATTATTATATGCATCGTAAATAAAATATTAAGATAATTATCTTCTTTGGATTTGAATTGTTGGTGATTTTGGAGACTAAAATTTGTGTTATTATTTGCGCTTTGTATTTTTGATTAATTTTATTTGAAAATAGGTGTTAAAATATAAAAAAAACAATGAGATATTTCACGTTCGGGCTTTAACCGACCCAACCCGAACCCGGACCGAAACCGGGATACCAAAAACCCGACTCGGACCGAATATAATGGGCTTTGTTCCGGTCCCTAATTTTCATAACCCGAGACCTTCCGGGTAATTTCCGGGTTTAGCAAAAACCCGACCCAGACCGGACCGATCCGGGGAAAAAAGTAACCCAGTTAAAACAAAAAGACCAATCTTACCGTTTCTCACCTTTTCACTCGTCTTGGTCACTATGTCTCCACCATGGGAGACTGCGTAGATCTCCCCTTTTTCTTCCTTTCTCTTTCTCAGTAAATCTTATAGCTCGGAGCAGCTTACCTTCTTCGTTTCCCATCTCTGCTCTAAATCACCCCAACAATGTCTCCAACCACCTTCTTCTTGCTTCTCTTGTCCTGCTCCGTCTACTGTCTATCCTCCACCGCCCACACCCGCCGCATTCTTCACCAGCCCTTCCAGTCCTTACGTTCCGACCCCCCTGTCTCTGCACCGCCGGCGTCCCCCGTTTATGGGGACGCTCCTTTCTTCCCTTCCAACCGTTTGCTTCCACCTCCGTCGCCGCTGTCTCCCAAGGCATTGGCGTCCTTCCCGGCGAATATATCTTCTATCATCGTTCCGCGCGCCCAGGAAAGTAATCCGGTGTCTTCGAAGCTCATTGGCACTGCCATCGCTAGCGCGTCCGCTACTGTCATTGTCATTACGATTGGCGTCGTGCTGCTTTTCCGGAAGAAGATGAATCGTTCTGTTTCCGGTGAGTGGAAATCACACAGATCCGATAGCAGTGCTCGATTAAGTTACTGCAATAGTATAGGCGGCGGCCGTAACCCGCTCGTTCCGAAGCTCCAGAGGCCATGTCAACCCAGTTCCGAGCTCCTTTACTTGGGCACTGTGGCCAATTTACACGGAGCAAGCGCACCGCGCAATCTGCAAACCACTCCTAGCAGTATCTCCACTAGAAATGTGAGGCCGATAAAACCGGGCTCGCCGGAGCTACGCTCGTTAGCGCCGCTTCACAGGCAGAGCTTTGAGCTACACTACGAGATTGGTTCCGAAGCAGACGAAGAGACTGACGTGTTTTATTCTCCGAAAGGGTCGTTGGGTGATAGAGAGAGCTCCGTTGGAACTGGATCGGCTTCCAAGAGAGCATTCTCAGCGGTTGAGGTCGAAATTTTTGAACAATCCTCCTCATCTTCTTCCTCTCCAAAGATGCCAGCCTGTTTGAGAATTCCCCCGCCTGAATCCTGCTCAAGGCTAAGGTCACCTGAATCCCTTCCTATTCAAACTGCTCTTTCTCCACTTCAGTCTCCGCCTCAGCATCCACCTCCAGTCTTTGTGGCGCATTGGACGTATACGAGAGAATCTGATTCTCCCTCGCCTGCGAGTTCTTCCTCGCCTGAGAGAGATTCTAGAAGAAGTATAGATTCATCTCCTGGAACTTCTTGCACTTGGGATCGCAGTATAAAATCTCCTCTCAGAATCTGCAACAGTGTGGAATCTCCACCTCAGTTGGACTCTCATTTTAGACTTGACATCCAAGGAATTGAATCTCCTGAGAGAATTAGCTTTAGCCGTACTGAATCTCATGCAAGAACCAGCACTTCACTCCCACAGAGTTGCCACAGCCTACCAATTTCTGCTGCACCATCCCCTTTTCCACCAGGACCTTCTTTTTGTACTCCAGCTCTCACACGCCCACCTCCCCCTCCCTCAATTAAAATGTGGGAAAGTCCACACACTCCCAGCATGGATGAATCCCCTGAACTAGTCAATTCCTTCAGACAGATAAAAATCGAGAGTCCGACATTGTCTTCTCCAGTTCAGTTGCCTCTTAAACCAGAGTCTGGTGAGAGTAATGCACAGATGGTTGGGCTCTGTTCAACTGAAAGTTCCGAAAAGAATGAGGACAAGACAAAACCAATGTTGAAACCTTTGCATTGGGATAAAGTGCTGGCAAGTTCACATGGGGAAATAGTGTGTGACCATTTGCAATCAAATTCATTTAAGTATGATATTTTGGAACTTGTATGTCAACTTTATTGATTACATTGCAAATTTAATTGTATGTCTTTGCTTAAATTATGTTTTTGTTTGGAAATTCTTATCGAGCTGGATAAATTGTAGGGTGGATGAGGGGATGATGAAGACACTATTTGCCACAAGTGATCCCAATTCAAAATCAAATTTAAAGGAAACAGACCAGTGCCAACGTCTTCCTTCATTGAGCCAAGAAAACAGCGTCTTTGACCGGAAGAAGTCACAGAGCATTTTTATTTTGTTGAAGGCACTAAATGTCACTATTGAAGATATATGCAAAGCTCTCTTAGAAGGTATGAAATTTCAGTTCTTCAATTTTGAATGGGTAGATGCTGTTTCTTATGCAAGTCAAACATCTGCATCATAATAAATTGTTTCCATTTGGTACCTAGGATCATCAAAGATAAAGTGGATAATTGAATATAGACTATTTATGAATGTTTTTTTTTTTGTTTTCAGCATTTCAGTATTATCATTAGTTTATTATGATTATTATTATGCTATATCACTTCAAAGTGGTGACAGTGAAGCTCCTTTATCCAGGAAAACTTGATGCTCTTGGGACTGAGCTTCTTGAGACCTTGATGAAAATGGTTCCATCTAAAGAGGAGGAGCGTAAGCTTAAAGAGTATAAAGACAACTCACCATTCAAACTCGGACCGGCTGAGAAATTTCTCAAGGCATTGCTCGACATACCTTTCGCATTCAAAAGGATACAAGCAATGCTCTACATTTCCAATTTCGACTCTGAGATAAATCATCTCAAAAGGTCGTTTGAAATTCTTGAGGTAATAATTTGATTGAATATGTGCATGCTACAGACTTACAGCGGTGTTGTTTCAAGAATCCAACTAAATGATGTTTACTATTTTCAAGTTGGCTTGTGAAGATTTGAGGAGCAGCAGGATGTTCTTGAAGCTTCTGGAGGCAGTTCTGAAGACTGGGAACCGGATGACTGGGGGGACAGCCTGCAGAGATGTACACGTGTTTAAGCTTGACACACTTCTCAAGCTCGTTGATGTCATGGGGGCTGATGGAAAGACCAGTCTCTTGCATTTTGTTGTTCAGGAGTTAATAGGAAGTGAAGGCGCTCGTGTATCTACATCAAACCAACATGAAAAGATGTCCTTCAGTGATGATACCATGTTCCACCAGAGGATTGGCCTCCAGGCTGTCTCTAGACTCAGTTCAGAGCTTAAAAATGTGAAGAAAGCTGCCAACATTGATTCAGATGTCCTCCACGGTGATGTCTTAAAGCTTTCGAAAGGGTTTGATGACATTGTAGAGTTTTTACTATTGGATAAAAGTAGTTGCGCTCCTAAGTTTTCAGAATCACTGAGCATGTTCGCAAAAATGGCGGAGGAGGAAATTATAAGGATCCGAGCACAGGAAAGTGTGGCTATATCTCTAGTGAAGGAGATAATTGAATACTTCCATGGAAATTCAACCAGAGAAGAGGCACACCCCTTTAGAATTTTCATGGTGGTGAGGGACTTCCTGGTGATTCTCGATCGCGTATGTAATGAAGTTGGAATGATAAATGAGAGAACGATGGTGAGTTCTGGACATAAATTTCCTGTTCCAGTGAACCCCATGCTGCATCCAGGTGGAGGGTTTTCCCAGAGAATGCAGTTCGGATCTTCTGATGATAGCTCTTAGCACGAGACCCTATTTTCCCCACTTCGCAAACAAACTTTATAGGTACTATATTTATATAGGTTTTGCACTTATTACAGGTATTACTTGCAGATTACAAGGAAAGTTTGGAGCCAAATTAGATTCAATGCCTAGTTTTTGTTTTTAATCTAGATTTTAGACCATATGCAAGCTGAGGTAGTGCAAGATAAACCACATTCACAACCTGAAGAAGTGTGTTAGAGTTGGCGTTATAGAGATGTTGAAGATGAATGAGTAAATCCACTGCTCAGACGTTGTGTCATTATCGTGGCTCAGTATTCAACACCATGGATGGTAAACCCCGTAAGCCGAAGTTTCTCTTCTATCTCACCCAGCTTATTTGTATGTGATTAATGTGTGGATAAAGATGGTTACTGCTATTGTTTGTTTTGGGGTGGGTAGATAACTAATAAATGTGGGTTTTGTTTCAACGGGGAAACATAGTGATATATTATTGAGTTCGTAGTTCGAACAATGATATTTTAATTTCGTATGTGTGGCAGAACTTTCAAATTGCTTGGAACAAGAACAAGAGCATATTGGGTTATAAAGGAACAGGTGTATGCGGGGCTATGGTTGCAAGGGCTGGACAGAGACTGTCATGCTGACGCGGCTGGTCAAAATTCGGAGGGGCTTAAAGTTGAAATTCATGTATGTATTCTGCTTCCATTTTGTCTTTTGTGTTGGAACTTGATAGGGATACAGCTGCTATTTTAAATAATAAGAATAGATTTGGCCAAGTGTATTCGAGAAGACTGAAATAATAGAGCCCGGTTGTTAGTTAGAGTGCTAAATAACTAATAACAACCTTCTTTTTAGGGAAGGATATAAATAGCAGATTACTGGAGAAGTTAGGAGGCTGTTAGACGGTTAGTCTTGGGTTTGGGAAGTTGGAGTATTAGCTCCTTCTTGGGATCTGTCTGTACTGTCTCTCCTTATTTCTGAATAAAGTTGTTGATTGATTTCTTGTGTTGAAATCCTATTGTGTAGCTAGAATTCTTTGGATTGTTGCTAGATACTGTATAATCCTATCATTGGTATCAGAGCGAGTCGATCGCTGGATGAGACAAACTCGCGCAAAAATGGAAGGCCGTATGAATGACGTCGAGAGGACTTTGGCGGAAATGTAGGACAGGAATCAACGTGATCTGCGTGAATTACAGACGAACTTGGAACGAAATCTGGCAACGAACATTGCTGCGTTGCAAGCGAGCATCGCGACTTTGCAACCTCGAGATCATGGACATTCAAGGAGCAATTCGCATCACTCAGCTACTTCTCATCGGACATCTCATCATCGTCGACATACGAGAGATGAAGATAGTTCGGAGGGATCAGATCATCACTCGATTTCAAATAGGAGCCGAGATCGTCACCAGGATCATCGGAACTATCATCATCGGAATCACCAACCGGTAGGAAGGAGAATCGACTTACCTCTTTTCAACGGACAGGATGCCTTTGGTTGGTTGGTAAGGATGAATCGCTATTTTCGTTTGAACCAAACCGAGGAGGAACAGAGAATTGATGTTGCGGTCATGGCGATGGAGGATCAAGCTTTGAGCTGGTTCCAGTGGTGGGAAGGCCAAGCGCAACATCTGACATGGGCGCAGTTTACCAAGGATTTAACTCTTCGATTCCAACCGGAATTAGTGGAAAATCCGCTGGGGCCATTGTTCAGTCTAAAACAAAAAGGGACAGTTGCAGACTACAGAGATAGATTCGAGATAGCCATAGCCACACAAGGACATCTAACTGAGGAGGTTTTGAGAGGAGTATTTGTGAATGGCTTAAAACGTGATATAAGAGCAGAATTGAAGCTGTATTCTGCCAGGACATTGGCGGCAGTAATGAATACTGCTACACTGATTGAGAATAAAAACACTGAGGTGAATATCATGAAAAATAAAGAGGAAGGAAAGAAGAAGTGGCAGACTAAGAACCCTAACTTGATTCAAACACAGATTTGGGGAGATGGAAGTAAATGGAAGAGTCAACTTGCTACCAACCCATCTGGAACCAAAGCCATTACTGAACATAAGAAGAAGGAAGAAGAGAGATTACCTGAAATGAAACGGAGTGGACCTAGATTATCACAAGAGGAATTACTGGACAGGAGCAGGAAAGGCTTATGCTTTAAGTGTGGAGACAATTGGGGAAAAGGACATGTTTGCAGAATGAGAAATTACAAGATGGTTTTGTTGGAAAATTCTGAAGGAGAAGAGGCTTCTGACCTGGAATTTGAGGAAACTGAAGGAGAGCAACCCATCATAATGGAAAACAAAACCATGCAGATCACAGTTTTAAGTAAAGAGGGTATACCTACCATGACTACTTTTAGGGTAAAAGGTAACATGAAATGGCTTGGGGGAAAACAAATGGTGAATGTGCTTATAGACAGTGGTGCTACCCACAATTTTCTATCTAAAAAGTTGGTAAACAAGCTGAATGTACCATATAATCCTATTCAAGGTTATAAGGTGCAAATAGGCAATGGAGAGTACATACCTAATGCTGGGAAATGTTCTGTGGTAGAATTGGAAGTTCAGGGAAATGAGTTGAGGCAGAATTACTATGTTTTAGACTTGGGAGGTATTGACATTGTGTTGGGCATGGAGTGGCTAACTGGTTTGGGGGATATGGAGGTGAACTTCAAGAACCAGATCTTAAAGTGGAGAGTACAAGGAGAGGTACATTGTATAAAGGGAAGTGCAGCTATGAACCAAATGGAGGTACCTTTGAAGTCTATGATTAACATCTTGCATCAAACTGGGGATGGATATCTATTATGCTTTGAAGGAGACATGAAAGAGCTGAAACAGATAGATAAGGAAGGGGAAATTTGGGGGAGAGTGATAGCTGAATTTCCTGAAGTATTCACTCCAACAATGGCATTCCCACCTGAGAGGGCTTGTGATCATGCAATTAGCATAAAAGAAGGTGCAACTATTCCTAATCTCAGACCATATAGATATACTTTTGATCAGAAAAATGTGATAGAAAGAATTATTGAAGAGATGCTGAAATTTGGAATTATTAGGCATAGTACCAGCCCATATAGTAGTCCTGTTTTGTTGGTCAGAAAGAAAGATGGTGGGTGGAGATTCTGTGGGGACTACAGGGCACTGAATAAGATTACTATACCTGATAAATTTCCTATACTAGTGATAGAAGAATTACTAGATGAACTGGGAGGGGCCAGAATATTTTCCAAGCTGGATCTTAAATCTGGATACCACCAAATAAGAATGAAGGCAGGAGATGCCCATAAAACTGCTTTCAGAACACACGAAGGCCACTATGAATATTTAGTTATGCCATTCGGGCTGACTAATGCGCCTGCCACCTTTCAAGCACTCATGAATGAAGTTCTCAGACCTTTTTTGAGAAAATTTACACTGGTTTTCTTTGATGACATTCTAGTTTATAGTAAGACTAAGAATGATCATGAGGAACATTTAAGGAGGGTTCTGGAGGTACTGAAGAAGAACCAATTGGTAGTGAATCAAAAGAAATGCTCATTTGGCCAACAACAATTGACTTATTTAGGCCATATTATTTCTGAGAAAGGTGTGGCTGCAGATCCCAGCAAGATTGAAGCTATGAGTAAATGGTCAGTTCCTAAAGATCTCAAGGAATTGAGGGGGTTCCTAGGTCTGACAGGATACTATAGGAGGTTCGTCAAAGGTTATAGCCATATTGCTGCACCCCTAACTCAATTACTGAAGAAGGATGGGTTTAAGTGGGATGAAAAGACTGGAAGAGCTTTTATAGAACTGAAGGCTGCCATGATTTCTGTACCAGTTTTAAGAGTTCCTGACTTTAATAAATTATTTGTGGTTGAAACAGATGCTTCGGGAAGAGGTTTAGGGGCTGTTCTTATGCAGGATGGAGGCCCCCTTGCTTACATGAGCAAGGAATTAGCTCCTAAACACTTGGTTAAATCAGTTTATGAAAAAGAATTAATGGCCATTGTGTTTGCGGTTCAGAAGTGGAGGCCTTATTTACTTGGGAGAAGATTTGAGATTCATACAGACCAGAAAAGCTTAAAATACCTGACTGAACAAAAGGTGATGGGGGAGGATCAACAGAGGTGGATTGCTAAACTTTTGGGGTACAATTTTAAAATCATATACAAACCTGGAGTGGAGAACAAAGCAGCTGATGCTCTTTCTAGAAAATCAACATATTCAGCTCTATCAACTGTCACCTGTCAAGAATGGGATGGACTGGAAGAGGAACTGCAGAGGGATACAAAATGTAGGGAGTTGATTCAGAGCCTAATAAGCCAGCCAGATAAGCATAATGATTACAAATTGAAGGGAGGAATTCTGTTCTACAAAGGAAGGATGGTGCTACCTAAAGGATCCAGTAGGATATCAAGTTTAATGAAGGAATATCATGATTCTGCAGTAGGTGGACATTCAGGTTATTTCAGGACAATGAAAAGGATCTCCAGTTTATTCTTTTGGGCAGGCATGAGAAGGGATATTAAAGACTATATCCAGGGATGTGAAATCTGCCAAAGGAATAAGTATCAAACCCTGAAACCTGCAGGTTTGTTGCAACCTTTACCAATTCCAGAACACATTTGGACTGATATTAGTATGGATTTTATAGGTGGTTTACCTAAGTCTCAAGGCAAGGATGCTATACTTGTGGTGGTGGATAGACTAACCAAGTTTGCACATTTTATACCTTTGGCTCATCCATTTAGTGCCAAAGGGGTGGCAGAAGTATTTGTGCAAGAAGTTGTGAAAATCCATGGGTTTCCTAAGTCTATTGTCAGTGATAGAGATAGCATATTTCTCAGTTCATTTTGGGCAGAGTTATTCAGATTGGCAGGCACACAACTCAGATACAGTACTGCATATCACCCTCAGAGTGATGGGCAGACCGAGATAGTGAACAGATGTTTAGAGACTTATTTGAGATGCTTGAGTGGAAGAAAACCTAGACAGTGGGTGAAATGGCTACCATGGGCTGAATATTGGTTCAATACGAACTACCATAGTTCTTTGAAAAGCACTCCATATCAAGCTTTGTTTGGGCAGAAACCTCCTCCTATCATTAGAGGTGATGTTAACCTAACAGCAGTTGATGAGGTGGCAAAAATGACTGCTGAAAGAAATTCCATGTTACAGGAGTTAAAGGAAAACTTGGCGAAAGCTCAGAACTTAATGAAGCAACAGGCTGATAAGCATAGGAGGGAAGTCAATCTGGAGATAGGAGATATGGTATTTTTGAAGATTCAGCCATACAAAATGAAGACGCTGGCTAGGAGAATAAATCAGAAACTCAGCCCCAGATTTTATGGGCCTTTTGAGGTTGTAGACAAGCTAAATTCTGTAGCTTTCAAGCTGAAATTACCAGAAGGAAGCCGAATACATCCAGTATTTCACATATCTTTGCTGAAGAAAGTGTTGAAGCCTACTGTGACTTATCAAAACCTCCCAAATTGCCTCACAGAAGATTGTGAACTGCAAGTGAGTCCTGAAGCTCTGAAGGATAGCAGAATTAATCAGGAAGGGAAGATGGAGATCCTTGTACACTGGAAGGATCTTCCTGATTATGAGGACTCATGGGAGGATATAGAAGTGATCCAAGATCAATTCCCAGAATTCCAACTTGGGGACAAGTTGGTTGTTCAAGGAGGGGGTATTGATAGGGATACAGCTGCTATTTTAAATAATAAGAATAGATTTGGCCAAGTGTATTCGAGAAGACTGAAATAATAGAGCCCGGTTGTTAGTTAGAGTGCTAAATAACTAATAACAACCTTCTTTTTAGGGAAGGATATAAATAGCAGATTACTGGAGAAGTTAGGAGGCTGTTAGACGGTTAGTCTTGGGTTTGGGAAGTTGGAGTATTAGCTCCTTCTTGGGATCTGTCTGTACTGTCTCTCCTTATTTCTGAATAAAGTTGTTGATTGATTTCTTGTGTTGAAATCCTATTGTGTAGCTAGAATTCTTTGGATTGTTGCTAGATACTGTATAATCCTATCAGAACTCCATTTAAGATGACCCCAGTCTCTCCCTACTCTCTAGGGGAGTTGGCTGTATCTAATTTTGTGCTTTTAATGGTCAAAGTTGAATGCAGATAAATGGATCTTTATCTGTTTATTATACTCATGGACCAACTCTTGCATACATTGTGCAAATTTTGTACTTTACGCAACAATGGATTCTTGGTAAAGAAGTAATAAATTGAAATGCAATTGATTTCTTATGTCATATCATTCATGAAACATGCATACCGGATTTATAGGCTTTATACTATGTCATGCTATCTACTAATCCCATCTAGGTAATTTTAACTTCATGCCTACAAGCTTTACATTTATTCATATTTCTTAAAGAATTAGGTCTCAGCTTGCCTTATTCTTTCGCAAAGCCTTCACTACAAAATTTTTTCCATTTAAGGTGATTACTTTATGAGCAATTAATACAGTTCAAGCTAGAGCACATGAGCTTGTTTTCTGGATAGCTTAAGGGTGCATTTTATGCTGGAAAGAAATGTAGAAATAAATCCAAGAGATGCATAATTCTATTATCAGCACAACTCCAATGTGAGATGCAACAGTTGTGCATTTTGTGAACTAATCTTCTTTCCCCTAATCTGGTGTTCAAAGGGTGGATGCTGTTTGGTTGAAATAGTTTAACCATGAACTTTTGATTTGGCAATGTTATATCTTTTTTACCCCGGAGGGTGGGGGGCCTAGCCGCCTAGGGTAAAGTGGGTTGAAAATCTTTCCATGGACCAGTTGAGCTGGGGCAATGTTATATCTATAATAACATTATAAAAGTGAAAAAAACGTTTACATAAAATTTGCAAACGTGTAGCTAATCTGGCAGATCATTGAAAACATCTCTTCCGTAAGGTAAGTGCCATAAAATTTGCAAATGTGTAACTTAACACCATTTGGCCTACATTTCTAAACTCATGCATAGATACACTTGATTTACCCCTTTAGTCATAAAGAGGCAGTGACAAAATGTGTTGCTGAAAATAAAAGAATAGGTCCTTCAAACTTGAACAGTTATCAAGTAATCATCCATCGGAATGCGGTTAATGTATAATCAATTAGGATATATGGTTTCAATGCAGGTACTACCCTTGAATGTGCTCTAGTGCATATCCGAAATACAGAAAACTATATGTAATCATGGCGTAATAGGTCCTAGAGTTTTAATAGACAAAAATATGACTAATATGTGATGGGACAAAAAAATGTGATTAAAAAAAAATCCAGAGGCCCAACACTACACTCATGCCTTCCAGCCTTCTGTCTTCACGATCGTCTTCTTCGCTCCAGAGCCTCCAATGCAAGAATATAGAGCAGCAGCAGCCGACGCCTTGAGAGAGAGCCACTGACGCCGCTGCACCTCTTGCCGCAACCATTTGCGTTCATCGTCGCTGCCACCGCTGCACCTCTGCTTGCCGTTGCTGCCACTCTTCTTCTCGTCAGCAACTCGATAGTTGCCGTCAAGATCTGTAAGTATCCAGATGCCGATGGAATGAGAGCAACCCCAGCTATCAGATTGCCGCTGCCTAGCCTCGCATCACTGCACAGTCGCCTCTCTGCATCGGAGTTGATGTGCGGCAGCGATTAGGTGGCTAGAGGGGGGGTGGAGGTTGTTGGCGGCGGAGCAAGACTTGTTTGGGTGGCAATGATGGAGAGGAGGTTGACTGGTGCTGGGAGGGGACTGGGGAGTCGAGTCGGGGTGGGGCGGTGGTCGGCGGCGGTTGTGGCTGGCCGAAGTGTTTCATGTCACTTTCAGTTATGTTTTTCACTAGGCGGTGTTTGTGGCCGGCCGAAGTGTTGGCCCGACATTGGCGGGGAAGGGATGCAGAGAGGGCGTAGGTCTGGGCACTGGGCAGTGCCGCCAATCAGTGGGCCAGATGGTTGTCACTGGTTTTAGAGTGCTGGGGTGTGCGGATGGGCAGGGCGATCTATGGGAGACAGAAGTAGTGGTCGGTGGTGTCGGGGCTGGTGTGGCATGGCACAGGCCAGACGCCGAGATCACTATTTTGCTGAAAAAAGTTGTCGGAAAATTATCTGAAGATCACAATGACAAGTTTCACAGCGGCAGTGTATCTGAAAGTGACATATAATTCGGTAGTGACATTCATTAGTGACATAAAAATCTGTTAATGACATATGATAGTGACATAAAAATTCGGCAGTGACAAAAAATTTTTGATAGTGACCTTCTTAGTCACATTTTGTCCTTTTGTAAAAATGGTCACATTTTTAGAAATTGGTTTGAATTTAGTACAGGAGTAATATTTAAGGAAAAATCCCAATTATTATCTACATTCAATATGTTTATTTATTTAGCTATAGCATGAAAGGTACTATCCATGAATCATTGTTTGCATTTGTCGAATGAAGTCTCTCTTAGCACTTTACCGGCCAAAAAGTGTTTTTTCAAATGGTTATATTTAAATTTTAAAACAAAGATCGCTTTTCTAAATGGTTTTATTTAGAAGTAGTTGATTGCTGAATCATTTCCTCGTGCCTATCTTTTGTAGGAATTCCAGGAGTGGCAGATGATAGATCAAGAGGATGGGGATCAAAACAAAGAGGTGCACTCTGTGAAGTTAAAGTGTTGAGCCTTATTAGCCCTTTGCCCCCCCCCTTTCAGTCATATTCCCCTCAACGTTTGCTTCAGTTGAAGACAAATTATAAAGTTGCCTTCCAACTAACAACATAACGTGAATACGTGACCAGTCATGGATCTCCTAATGCCAACATCTTCAGCACAAGACCCTCTTACTTCCACAAGCAGTATGTGTGATCAAATTCAATGCATATTAACATATACGATAGTACAATAGTATTTAGTTGAACACTAGCTTGAACTATAAATATAGCTTGATTCTAGTGTAAATGGTGTTTACCTATGGAGTAGATTAGTTCTGCTCTAGTGTAAATAAAAGTTGGTTAAGGACATATTTGTGAATAATATCTTTTGAAAAAATAAAGCATCCAAAAGTAACCAAATAAAACTAATATGAAAAATATTGGAAAAAGTAGGGAAACATTATAAAAACTGAAAAACAGTAAAAATCAAATAAGATTTAAATACACTACACAAGTGATAGATGGGAACCTGGTTTTAGAGAGGGCAAATTAGAATGAGAGGATTGGTGTGGAAGTTTGATTTATAATGTTCCCCTCCTTCAAATCGAATGCTTTATATATATGGTGTGAATTTGTATCAGTTGAGCTAAACTATTTTGAGAATACGGTTTGGATGTTGCTGCTGCTTTGGAGGTGGCGAAAAGAAAATTTTCAGTGAAAAAAATGAGGAAAAATAGTGGTCCCTGCAAGGTATGTCCTCACGTTTTGTTTTAGAGCATATTTATATGTTCGAATTTTCTCAGACATTTTTTCTCGCAAAAGGTTAGTTCATGTAGGATGTGAGGATATGTGCCCACCGACGGCTCAGTAGTCAGGCACTTGTTTCTTAAAAAATCTAAACGCCTTAATTACACCGTTGGACGTTGTTAGGTAGATGAATTATAAGAGTGATGTGGTTGTATATCCGAGTCTTAAAGAAACTATTTAATGATCTTTTTCAGTGGCGGACATAGAAAAATTAGTTGATTTTAATTGTAAAAGCTCTATAAGTATATATAGATAATTTACCTTACTATTCTATACTCCATATATATTGATTTTGTATACAGGTCTTTTGGGAATTTGGTATACTGATTTTTAAGTTTTTGTACTTTTTTTACATTTTCATCCTTCCATTAGTATTTTTCATTCTGTTTTTTTTTTTACATTTTCATCTTTTCAACAATGTTTAACGTGAGAACACCACATTTACTCCAATCTATTACACAATGAAACTTATCTATTGCACTTTTTTCGGTTTTCGTAATATTTACCAAAATGTCATCGTGTTATTTAATATTGGCCTAATTTGAATAAATTTAAAAATATGCAACAAAAGAGCTCTATTGTGCATCACATTGATCCAGGGATGCATTTCAGGGGGGCGCGGGGGCCCCCTGGGGCTTTCAAAATTTTCTATTATATATGTAAAATTTTCATAGAATTTTCATACTTTAATTAGATATATATGTGTCCCCCCCTTAACTTTTGATTTTCAAAATTAGTATAGGTTACATAATATAATACATAGTACTTAATATGAGATTTAAAATAAGAAACATCTAAAATAATTTACCATTACTTAAACAAATAAATAATAGAATAACTCATTGTTTAAGACCTATGAGACATTATATCAAAATTTCTAGTTTTGTAATGTTTAATTATCTTTATTAGGTAATTAGTACTCGATTTTGTAAAATATCAAAAGATAGTAAATACCAGACACACTAGCTAAATTGTTTTTAGATCATGTAAAGTGAATCAAAAATATAAATTGTTGTTGACATTAAATTACCCAATTCATTTAGTTCTTAATAAAAAAAAATTTGTTGCAAAGATAATAAATTTTAATATATTGTAGCATTAATACAAATATAATGTGCATCATCTGTATGAATTAGCAATATAATATTATTCTAAAAAACAAATATTCTTATACATACTATTGTAATAATAATAAAAACTCTGCGCGACTCACGAACACTCTCATTGATAGACAAAATTTGCAATTCAAAAACCGATTCTTTATTCCAAATAGATTCATGTGATTAAACAAGGTAGAAGTTATTTAAAAGTATTGGTTGATGTGTACTTTTTAAACTCTCTATCTTTAAATAATTTGATAAAATTTCTTATATTTTATTATTTTCAAATAATTTTCCTTTGATTTGCCATTTCTTACGCCTTAATGTATCAATACTTTTTTCTAGGACACTTCAATTATGAAATCAAAGTTATTTTCCATTATCTAAACTTAGAATGCACTTTGTTATATATTTCAATGTCACTGTATATGTATTAATGATTTTTTTAATAGAGAAATAGCCGCATAGCCCTACACAACCGAAAAAAATTCTCTCCGCTAGACTAACAAAACAAAAATTCACCGCGTTCACTAATGAAAGAAATTTCGCCAGAGGTGGTGTTCGCCAGAGGTGGTGATTGCCGGAGGTGGTGGTCAACGGGGGCCATTATCAGACTAGGTGAATAATGGTCGAACCTCGTAACTATAATTGGTCGAATCGAATAATTATTGTAACTGGTCGAATTGGATAACTGTAACTAGTCGGTTGAGTAACTATAACTGGTCGGATCGGATAACTGTAACAGGTTGGATCATGTAATTGTAACTGTAGGCTGGAATAAGGGCATAAATGCTCTATTAGTCTCTTTTCTGGAAAATCTTAAATATGATCCTATTTTTGTCCATGAGTTTTACTTTAGTCTTATTTTTTAGAAAACCCCTATATACATATGTTTGAAATACTATTTTTTTTGCATAAATAAACATTATGTTTTTATGAAATGTAATACGTAGTATATCATTTCATAAATACTTGTGTTCAGTTGCAAAAAAAAACTTGTGTTCATTAATATGCATGTCTTTCTGTGTATTTGCACACTATTGCATATTTTGTGTGTGTATTGAATGTGTGTATAAAAATTTTGTGTAAGCATAAAATTTCTTTTTATAGCACTAAAACATATACAAAATTTAAAAATAAGACTAAACATGTTTTACTCACTACATAAGACTTATTTAATACGTAGTACTATTAAAAGAATAAGTTCATTCAAAATTTTCATTCCTCCAAAATTTTGGAATCCTCAACCCCAAGCCCCCCAACCCGACCCAACAAGACATTTGAGAGATTGTAAATCACGACGACTCAATCAGTCCTATAGTGATAGATTTTGTACATGTGCGCTCCAAAAATTCAATCCAACTCATATGAGCTACTTCCACATAGCTGTTGCAAGCTTTAATCATTGGCTATTCCTTCGACTTTCCTACCATTTGACCATATGAGCTATTCATGCGGGTTCATTATTAAAAAAAAGTAGTCCCATTTATTTATAAACCTAAACATAAATTTTGGGAGTAAATTATTAAACTTAAACTTAAATTTGATGAATGAGTCATGTATTGAGAATAATATAAAAACAGTCCAATTGATAAACTTAAATTTTGTTTTAGTTATATTTTGAGTTACGGAGTATGATGTTTTCTACAAAAATTGTCACCTATATTAAATTTGCTCACCAATATTTTAGCAGTTGTCATACTTGTAGTTATTTCCATCTACGGAATAATTAATTTTGTAGACACACAAGACACAAGTTACATCACTTCTCTGTTAATGGACGTGACTTTTGTCCAAAACTTTACTGTGTACCGAGTATTACTTTTCAATTTTTCATTTTAGATGAGTCTCATTGTTGATACCGAAATGTGAAATTCATTCGCTAAATTACTCGTTTTGTTGAAATTTATGAATTTTGATTAGTTGAATATTGTCTTGTATGTATTCTTGATTTAATTTCGAAGTTCGAACGTAGTCCCCTCTCGTTTTTTGGACATGTTGATTAAAGTTTGTTATTTCTATCTTAAATAACAATATTAGCACTCCAAATGATAATAATTAAATATAAAAAATGATGCATTTTTTATACCTATCAGAAGTATTATGATAATATACTCAAATTACTTTATTCTAGTATTGTTTAAATAATTGTAACAATTTAATTGAATGAGAAACTTAACCCAGAAAGATATATAACTAGTATCTTTACCCGTGCCATGCACGGGAAAAAATGATTTTGTTGTTTAGTTTTACTAACGAAAAATCACTTATTTAGTCGATTACAACTTTTTTTAAAAATGCATATTCTAATATATTGAGTATGCCTTATTATTGAACTAATTATCTAAACATATTTTCAATTGAGTTAAAAAAAGATGTTTTCAATCTATATTTTTCAATGAAAAGAGCATATTTTTTTTATAACTCTCTGTTGCATGCATTGAAATTAATCTATTTTTTTTTTACCTAAACGAAAAGAAAATGTTTAATGCCAGTTTATATCCATTAAATTTCATCCATGCATGGCTTACTGTTTTAGGTTCTTATATTATTTTTTATTTTCTAGATTTTTTATGCTCTTTTATCTTTTTGTGATTTTATCTTTTATCTTTCTTATATCCTTAATTGTATTATTGTTATCTAATTTATTGAGTATCGTTAATTGATTCGTGTTAGCTGACCCCAAAATCTTTTACGATTAAAGCTTGGATGTTGTTGTTGTTATTGTTGTTGTTGTTGTTGTTGGTAACTTTCTTTAAGAAAAGAGGTTAGAATATATAGTTTCGTGACATTTTGATTTTAATAAAGGCGATGGCGGTGATAATAGGCTGCATATTGTGATTGGCAGTGAATCCCAGTGATCGATTTATTTTTCATTAGATGAAGTTATTGAAGGTAATAAAATAAGTGTTCTTAAAATGAAGAAAAGTTGCATGTTTAGACTTTTAATAAACAATTTTTATCTTGAAGGTCAGATGAACAAAACTTATAAAGACATGTCAAATTATGCATTGAAAAATAAAAAAATGCCACATATTCATAAATGAAAAATGATCTCAATTTTCATTATCAAATAATAATGTATCAACGTTACATCCATGAGTAAAAGAATTACTACTTAGTTTTTATATACAGTCTAACTTATTTATCTAACTCTTAAACATCACTTTTAGTGTCATGATATATGATTGTTATATGTGTAATTAATAAAACTTTATGAAAGTTGAAACTCTAGGCCAAAATATATCTATATTATACTAATATATACACTAAAGTAATCTCACAGACTGATTAATTTTGTTAGTCCGAATGACTTACCAATTCAGGCTAAAAGGGCCTACTGGTCAGATTATTTTGGGATTCCTTCACTTAGATTCTAATTTTTTTCTGCTTTCTCCCTGTTGTTTGTTTGTTTCAGATTGGGCTAGGCTTATCTTCCTATTCTGAGTTTTTTAGTTCTTCACAATTGTTTTTTGTGTTGGGGTGTATTGCTTTATTTGTAGGGGTTTTGGTCTAGTCCCCCCCTTTGTACCAATCTTCTCATTGAATAAAATCCTGGTAAATGCTCCCCGTCATTTACCCCACTGATTTTGGTGGTTGGCCTTCCGGGGTAAAAAAAAAAAATACACTAAAGTAAAAATAACTTTTACTTTCATGAATGAGACCCAAAAAAAATTTCAATTGAAAATATCCTTAATTTGAGATAGCGTTAAGAGTTAAGACAAACTTATACGTAGTATTTAGCACTTTCATTTTATCATGTTTCACTTTTTTCTCATTTTTGGAATGATTTGGAAGTTATTATAATTTTTTAACCAATTTTATTGAAATGATTTCGGGGTGCTTAAAATATTTTTATTCTCTTGTGTTCCACTTTCATTTCCGTTTAGTACTTGTAGTTATTATATTGAATTAAATAATATTTAAAGGGTTATTTTTTCCCTAGCCATACAATTATGTCATCCTACCATATCACCTTCTACATCATTACAGAGTACTACTCCCTCCGTTCCCAAAAATACTTCCCACTTTTCTTTTTGGGCCGTTCCCAAAAATTCTTCCCACTTTCCCTTTTTGGACAATTTGTGTGCCTCACATTCATTTTACCTTTTTCTCACACAACCACAATCACACATTTCCACTTTATTCCACTTTCTTAATAGGCGTGCCAAGTCAAACCGGGAAGAATTTTTAGGAACGGAGGGAGTAATTTTTTTTCACTCTACTTACTACAACCTTCCATCTTATTGACTATTTTTTGGTTCTCTTTCCAATTTCAAATTTTTCATTTCATTTGCACACTTTTATACAAAATTTAGAATAAAATCTTCACACCCTTATTTAAAGGGATTGTGTCAACTTCTGAGAGTTCACCATTGCACATAGAATGAATATCTTCGAAGTGATTGTAATCGACTCTTGGTGTTGTGGATTTTGAATTTTGTCTCGTATAAGACTTTTAGATTTCTGATTTTCATGTCAACAGTACGTAAATTAAATAATTGTTTTAAATGCATTAGTTTGGGTAATAATATTATTATTTTTATCATACATCAATCATATCTTCAAGAAACACTAAGATCTATTAGGGTGTGATATTTTCCAATAAATAGTTCTACAACGTGTGCACGTTGCCTTTTGAAAAAGTAGAAACCTGGATTCATACTAAGAAAACATCAAAGATTTGAATTACAATACATGTCCGAGTATTGCAGGCTTGGAGGTCAGTAATATTTGTAATTAAGATAATTGAGTATGAAGAATAACCAAACATTCCAACTCAGTTAGTTGTGAGGTTACCGTGCCTAGTGGGAGGTCTCGAGTTCAAAACCCGCTAGGCACATAAGGGTTCGAAACTCAATGGAGTGAGTTTCAGCCCCGATTACTTCAGGCTCCACCCAGCCCCCTCCCCCAAACCCCTCTGGAGTAAAAAAATAAAGTACACACACAGACGCGCGCGCACACGCACACAATTGATATGTTACTGGAAAAGTTATACATGTAATCTTGTATTCTCTGTTATAGACTTATATATACTATGATCCATATAATAATTTATGAAAAATTTAAGTTTTCAAGTATAGCAATGTTATTGAAGCAATATGGGTGTAGTTTTAAAACAGAAAAATGAATACCATAGGCTAGGGAATTCTATTATACCTCAACAATCTAATTGAGAAGTTTGTGGATTAGAACTATTAAACGCAACTTACCTTTATTTCGAAACGTTTTTTTTGGTGATACCTTTATTCCGAAACATTGACTTATTGAATTAAATGAACTCAGAAGAGGTGGCCCTAGTGGGGGTGGGGGTGGGGCAAAGGCCCTGGGCCCTAAAAAATGAAAAAAGTTAGGCCCTGGGTAAGTTCTTTATAATAGGTGTTAGTAGACTGGTTTTTCAAACCTAAACTAATAATTTATTGGGTGAAAATTTTTAGGTACTGGGTGAAATTTTTTATGAATGTTTTTGAAAACGTTTTCTATGAAGTGGGAATTATGTTCACAAAATTTCAGTTTAAAATTCTATCTAGAAATCTATTAAATAAATTATTTAAAACTACTGTGTTTTTATGCATATTTTGGTCCAATGTTTTTCCATAATTTATTTAACTAATTTTCCAATTGAATTTAAAGATGAAGTTTTGTAGATACAATTTAAATTTGATGAAAATTAAGCTCACAATATTTTGTAATAAAATTCGACTTGGAAGCAGATTTGTCAAATATGATTGTTTGGTTGATTTATTAATTAACTTCATTCATACTTTTTTGTTTGATTTCTTAATTGTTGATTGTTATCTATTAAGTGTTGTTGTTATAATTTGTTGGATTAAAAGTTTTAACTTTAATTGAATTCATAAACTTAATTAATTTCAAGGTGTAATAGAAGGAATCTGGATAGGAAAAATAAAAGAGAGAACAGATGATTAAAAGAATCTTAATGAAAAAATTTGTATAAGGAAGTCAAATTAGCTTATGAATGTCCTCATCTAGATGAGAACTCAAAAAAGAAGAATGATATAACTCAAAATGAAATGGCTCAGAGTGGTCACATCATTGGTGGGAGAAAATTAGGAGTTGATAATAAAGGAGTTGACTTCTTAAAATAAGACTAAAGCATGGGTAAAGTGCACAAATAAGACCACCATTTTTTCTTTCCTAAATAAGAACAACCAATATTATAATATTATTGGTTTTGACAGAAGATAGTTTTAATTTTTTTTTTGTTTAAAATGTAGTGAAATATTATATTTGTTATGCATGTTATTAGTTTAGACATAAAATGATTTTACATTTTCTTAGATTTGGCTCATTTTAATTATTCACTCCTAGGTCTTCAATCATAGAGGACTGGCCCTGGAACACGGTGCATAAATTCATACATGAATAAAATCCATATTCATGGTTATGAATTGTTTTTATGATTAGTTTTTCTCAATTTGATCGTTATCAATAAATTATTAAATTAGCTTTTGAGGTTTCCTGTATAATTTTTATAAGTCTCTTTTTGCATTTTAGTACAAATCAATCATGTGTCATCATCTCAATTTTTGGTGACAAATAAAAATTAATTCATGAATACTTTTAAAATATGAATGATTAAGTTCATAATAAGCTAATTACTTTCTTTACGTTTATCTCACTTCTTCTTGTATAGTGATTATATAACTTCATAGTAAGGTAACATAATTAACTCCAAATTCTACTCATGAATACTTTCAGGAGATTTATTGAATTCTAATCTCTAATGTATATAGAGTTCTAAATTTAAGGAAGGACTGCATTAAAAATGTTTTTAATTGGACCGAATTTTCTGTCTGATTTGTCTAATCTGATTTGGTCAGGTCATATAATCAGGGCTTATTTAACTCTTTTTGTCAAATAGACTTACCTCGTCCAAGTAACAGTTCAAATGCACCATTTCAAAACTCAGTTCTAGACAATAATCTCTAGTTCATATAATAGTCTTTTAATTCAAACATTAGTTTCCACCTACATTTGAAAGTGCAAACATAACCCTAGTCTGTGAGCCCGTTTGCATAATGAGAAAATTTTACAAAAAAAATGTATAAAACTTTGTTTAATTATAATCAAACATGACAATTTTTTTATAATTCTTAATTGTATTTTTAAAATTATTAATAGAATTAATTTTTATTATTTTTTATATATGCAATATTGGTGTCATATGAAAGATAATAAAAAGTTATGAATTTTGATATATTTTCTGTAACAATCGAAGTACAAATAAAAAACTTATATCACTTTAAAATAAATATGAGATTTTATTTTTTGAATTAAGAAATTAAAGTTTTAATTACGTAGGATTCTAAAGATGTTTTTACTTGGACTGTAATTTGTCCCAGACCAGACCAGACCAGATCAATCCAGACCAGACCAGACCAGACCAGTTCATACCAGATCAGACCAGACTTGGATAGTTATAAAAGTACAAAGAAACCAGACCTTACCAGATCATATCAGACCAGACCAGACCAGCAAATTACAGTCCAAGTAAAAACATCCTAAGACATCTTAGAATTAACGTAAGATTAGTTCTACTGTAACATCAATTACTTACTAAAGTTACGGAATTATATAATTAGTATGCTAAATTTGCTTAGAAGATGACACATGACAAACTTTCTCTAATTGTATCTCTCAAATGTATGTATTATCTATAGATAGATAGATACTACGTATTAAGTATATTAGTATATATCTGAATTTACCTAGTACTCCCTCCGTCCCCTTTTAAATGTTCCGGAAGAGGGTGACACGAGTTTTAAGAAAAGTGGGTTTGTGTGGTTGATATTAATTGATAAAGTAAGAATAAAGTAAGAATGATTTTTAGCCACACAAACTTTATCAAATAAGGTATGTGACAATTAAATAGGGACATCCCAATATGGTAAAACGGGACATTTAAAATGGGACGAGGGAGTATGAATTTATATTCAGTAGAGAGACTCAAACTCACACTTTCTAATTAAGTTAACCACGAGCAATTATTTCATGGTTTGATTGAATATGAATAGAGGGTTGGGGCGAAAGTGATGGTAATTCCTGCTTCGTGTTGTAAGCGTTTGGAGAATTGGATTATTGGGTTTATGTGTTCTTAAAATGGAACAACTAAACAGTGCACTATTTTCTCATATTCTCTCATTGTTTGAGCGGTTGAGCCTCTCTACTGAATAGATTATTACACAAAATTGTCTTAAATAGGAGTAAAAATGTTTTGAAATTTCAAAATAGGACCATCATGTTTTTTAATCCTTGAATAGGAGTAATATGCTAAGTTTGAAAAACAATGACATGTTTAAAGCCTAGTAATGTCAAACTTGGCAAAAAATTACTCATATTCAGGAAATAAAAAACATGATAATCCTATTTTGAAATTTCAAAGCGTTTAAACTCCAATTTAGGGAATTCCGATCCCTCAATAGATTAATGCCGCTCACCCTATTTATGAGAATCTTTATATGATACGTTTAAAGAGAAAAATGTGAGACGGAGGGACTCCCAGATAAGAAGATAAGTGTGAGCAACTTTTGTGTGGGACGGAGGGACTCCCAGATAAATAAGCAGCTAGCATAAAATGGTGAAGCAAAAAAGAGGTGAGCTGCATATATTCAGTAGAGAGACTCAAACAATGAAAGAAGACGAGAAAATAGTGCATTGTTTAGTTGTTCCATTTCCAACCCAAGGACACATAAACCCAATGATCCAATTCTCCAAACGCTTACAACATGAAGCAGCCATTGAAATCACACTTGCCCCAACCCTATTCATATTCAATGAAACCATGAAACACCAAATCCCCTCCACCACTACTTCCTCCCCTTTCACCATTCACCCCATCTCAGACGGTTATGATGAAGGTGGCTTTGCTTCAGCTGAAAACTTTGATCATTACCTGGAAACCTTTAAGAAAGTGGGCTCAAGAACTATAACAGAGCTAGTTCAGGAGCAAAAGAGCAAAGGGTCACCTGTGGATTGCATCATCTATGATGCTTTCATGCCTTGGGTTCTTGATGTTGCCAAGAACCTTTCTTTATTAGGGGCAGTGTTCTTCACAATGTCTTGTGCAGTGGGAAACATCTGCTATCATGTTAACAGTGGCTTGCTTGACCTTCCATTGAAGAAAACAGGGGATGATGGTGATGATAAATTGTTGCAGCTGCCTGGGTTAGCTCCACTTATGGCTACAGACTTTCCATCTTTCATTTCTGATTTTGGGTCTTATCCACCTTTCCTGAAAATGCTTGTGGATCAGTTCTCTAATGTCAAGTCTGCAGACTGGATCTTCTGCAATACCATCCATGAACTGGAGCAAGGGGTTAGTTTGTACCATGTAGTAGTCTATTTACTTTTCTCGAAAAGTTATGCTTTTTGTTAAGTTTTAGGCCATTTTCACATTTGATTCTTGATTTTTTTTCATCTTCCTCATTTGGATTCGTAAATACTCCGCGTACGAATTTATGGCCACTTATGGTCATTTTATGATTACAATGCACGGAAATCGACCGGCAAAAAGATGGACAGGATTAGAAGAAATTTATAGTTTTGCACCAAAAATGGAAATTTTGAAAGTAAAGAATTCCGTGCATCTTTACATTCATTTATACTTTTCCCTTTGTTACAGAAAACTAATAGAGAGAATCAAGTATAAATTTACTTTCAAAAGAAAGAGAATACTACAAAAGGTAGGGGACCAGACCAAAAACCTACCAAATAGAAAACAACAGTGATAGAAAATGCATAATTTTCACTTAATTTTCACTTTCTTAATTAATATCTAAAATCTAAAAAGTATTTAGAAGATTGTATTGTCCAAAATTATGGTTCTCTATATCATTTGTTTTTATGTTAGCCGTTCAAACAAAACTTTTTGATGTGTCATAATTCTTTCAGACTGATCTGTTTGGCTCAACCGCATAAATAGTGACTAGAAATGGGAAAGGAAAACGAATCTTTATTAATGTTTTGGTTCAGCCTTGTAAAATACTCCGTATGAATCACAATCATTATTTGATTAAACCGTCACATCTATTTAGACTTTTCGTCTTTATACGGAGTATAATCTAGTACTAGTATACAAAGTTTGTATTTACTTGAAATTAATTTGAATAAATGTTCAAAGCTGATTTACTTAGAGCCCATATGGGGATGGCTTTCCTATTGATATGATAGACTTTGTTGAACTCTCTCAAAAAAAGAAAAGCTTTAGGTAAATACATTTATGACAAATAAGTAAGTCACAACCTACATTTATGAAAATACTTTAAAAAAAAAAAAGTAAGTCAGAACCTAGCTACGTATTCTGTTTTTTTCTGCTCATCATAACCAGAATAAGACACATTTGGCTACCAAACGAACAACTTATTAGTTAAAGGGTATTTCTTTCCTTCCAAACTTCTATATTTTCCTCATTTTCTATCCCTAGCATTTTTGGAATTCCAATAGGAACCTAAAATAAGTGCATCTTTCTTTGGATAGGAAGTTGAATGGATGAGAAAGCAATTGCCATTGAAGGCAATTGGTCCAACCATACCTTCAATGTATGTTGACAAGAGGATTGAGAATGACAAAACATATGGTCTTAGCATATACCAGCCAAGAACTGACATGTGCATGAAATGGCTAAATGAACGATCCGAAGGCTCAGTCGTCTACGTGTCCTTCGGGAGCATGGCGGAGCTAAAAGAGGAGCAAATGGAGGAGTTAGCATTAGGACTAAAGAAAAGCAACCACTACTACTTGTGGGTAGTCAGAGCATCAGAAGAAGCAAAACTTCCAAGAGACTTCTCCACAGAGAAGGGGTTGATCGTGACGTGGTCCCCACAATTAGACGTTTTGTCACACGAGGCAGTCGGTTGCTTCGTGACACATTGCGGTTGGAACTCGACTCTGGAAGCATTGACACTAGGTGTGGCTATGGTGGCCATTTCGGTGTGGACCGACCAAGGAACTAATGCAAAGTATGTGAGTGATGTTTGGGAAATAGGAATAAGGGCTAAGAAGGATGAGAGGGGGATTGTTGTGAAAGGTGAGGTGGAGAGGTGTGTGAGAGAAGTGATGGAAGGAGAAAGGGGTAAAGAGATTAGAAGAAATGCTGCCAATTGGAAAGGGATCATTAGAAAGGCTATTAATGAAAATGGAAGTTCTGATATGAATATTAAGGAGTTCATTGCTGAATTGTCTCAATCTAAGTTGGAGAAGTTAGCACATTAATGCTCCAACCTCTACCCCAAATGATCATTTGTTTAATTAGGAGAGACCATACAAGACTTCCCTTAAAGGAATCTCGCCCAAATGAATAGCTACATTGCCTTCTACCTCTAGTATACATAATAATACATTTGGAAATGTTATCCCCCCACTCTAAGCCAACTATGTGTAAAATCTATCTTTAATAATATTAATAAAGTTCCTAAAATGATTGTCCCACTTTATTTGAAAAATCTATCTTTAATAATATTAATAAAGTTTACGAGTATAATTATAATTATTTCAAAAATACATACTACTTTAAGCAAATTGTTTAAGGGAATTTATGTGCCATGATTTAATGCTCCTTAAAATGCTTTTAATTGTTTTCAAGTTTTCAATCTGCTTAAATTTAGCTTGATCAAATTTATATAAGTGCAGTCTGACATGATAAATCTTTGGATTGTGTACATTTTACTATTATATGTGTTTAAATTTAGTCTCTTCGGACCTTTTTAAATCTAATTCGGTCTAAGATTGAAACAGAAAGGGATCAATTAAAAACATCTTCACAATTATAATATTTTCACACACCGGCCCTTCACTTGGTTATTGTTTTTTCAATAGTAAATACGGAGTAAATCCGAAGCATCTTCTAGTTATCGTTTTACATTTCCAAGACAACATTTATCATATTTGTCCAAATCAAATTGGAATGGTACAAAAAGATTAGCATATTCTAGCAAGTACGACACGCACAAATTGAGAAATGTTCAAATTTACCTTTCTATATACAATCATTTGTTGTGTTGCATTCCCACATTATGATTTTAAAAACGGTGTAGTAATGTATAAAAAATATTTACCGCAAAGAATAATCCGATAATTAAACAGAATATATAATATGTAGAATATTTACCGCAAAGAATAAAAAGATATGAATAAGCAGTACAACATTATAAATAGTGCATAGCATATATTAATTTGACTAGGTTAATATGCATAATGTATTTTTAAATTCTTATTTGAAATTCTCGATAGATTGCACACATCACAATCAAACAGAAAAATGTAGAGTCCGTTTTACAACACTGTTTTTCGGCTTATCAGGTTTCAACTTTTTCACCAAACACGTAACTTTTTCACCAATCGCGCGATGAATTGTGTAATAAGCAAAAAAATAAGGTTGAAGTTACTTTTCTGGCTGTATTGGCTGAAGTTATTGTAGATGATCATTTTAACTATTTTTACATATAATGTTTTCTTTATTTTATTAATAAAATATATTTTAAAAATAATTTTTTTAAATCAGCAGAATCAGCCAATGTACCCACTTTAGCCAGAACTTCATAAATTTCAGAATCAGTGGAATCAGTCGGTTTTGCTATCCAACGGGGGTAATGTGTTTTGAAATTTTCTAATTGTGGACATATATGAAATTGGATGTCTCAACTACTCTGTATTTATTAGCCGTACCTAAACATTTATAATTTCACTCATTTAATGTGTTCACAAATTAATGTTTGGTTGTCACTCTCCCACCAGCTCAGAAAGGGAAGAATTCAGCAAAGTAACATTCACGTTTAAAAAGTTAGATACTCCCACCGTCCCATTTATATTGTCCCGTTTTACCTTTTCGGGAAGTCCCACTTAAATTGTCCCATAACATATTTGGCAAAGTTTGTGTGGCTCTAAATCATTCTTACTTTATTCTTACTTTATCAATTTATATCAACCATACAAAGCCACTTTTCTTAATAACCTTGTCATCCTATTGGAACGGAGGTAGTACCTAATTAGAGAACAATTTTGTTCACCCTCTTTTGAGAGGGTGATGTTCACCCCACCCCTATTTGCATGCCATGTGGCAAGGCAATATATTTTTTTTTAAGTTTTTGGGTTGGATTGGGTATTTTGGGACATTTGAGGTGGTTTGGGGTTGAGGGGGAGGGTAGGGGGTTGATTAGGAAAACCCAAAAAATATATATATATAGAACCGGCCCGAACCGGACCCGGGCCGGTTCCGGGCCTCCCCTACCTTGAACCGAGGCCCGGCCGGTTCAAGGCCCGAACCGGGCCCGGCCCAGAACCGGTCCACCCCTAATCGAATGTAGAGAAGGAAAAAGAGGTCCTTGAGCTCACACATAAAGGTATTATATTTGATCTCTTTGGCTCATTTTGATATTTGTACCCACTCTTATACCCATTTTTGTACCCACTTATGTTTGTGAAGTGTTTTTTTTGTCTGGGAGCCGGGTTCACAGACAAAAAAAAAGACCTCCACAAACATGATGAGTATAAGGTGGGTATAATAAGAGTGGGTACATCAAGCATGTGGAAAATTATATTGTATCGATTATACCAAGAGCATGACAACCAGTATTTTTGTAATTAGTTAAAATTTGTAGGTCAATAATCAGGCCCCCTATTTCTCTTATCCTTTTTCCCCTACACGGATCGATGCTTGTACTACATTTGTTTTAGACTTTCGTCGTTTTATTTGCTTTAACAACCTATGTTGTGTCACCTGTGTGTATTTGTTTAACCTTTTGCTTTATTATCTCTAGGGGAGATTCTACGGAGTATTAGGTTTGTCGAGCGCTTCTCTCTCCATGGTGGTTCGCCGCAACTAGGGTTTCCTTTCCGCTATCGATATTAGGGTTTTTTTGTTCCACCGAGTTTCGTTCGTGTGACTTGGATTATTGTAGAACGAGAATTTCATGCGATTTTTCTTTTTGGAATTTTGGAACGTGAGTGGAACGCAAGGGTGGTGGGGTGCGGCTTGGATTTTTGTGAACGAAGAAACACAAGGCAACATGATAAAGTTTTCTTCTACACCTCGGGCATAGAATTCAATGGCATATTTCAAGGAGCAAATTGACAAGAGCAAATTGGCGAGCGCAAGAAGAATAGGGTTTCGGACGAATTTTCTAGGGGTTGAAATTCTCTTCTACCATACTACAGTAGCTCGCCCTCCTCCGGAATCACCTCCGTGCGAGGAAGCAATTTGGGGAAAGCTTTTATTTTCGTATTATTTTTCCCTTCGTAGTACTTATTTTTATTTCAGTTCGAGCATATATGGTTGGAGTATTTTGATTTTTGAAGAACTTTTGATAGGCAGTGCTTCATTTTCGGTTGTTTAATTTTTGGCTTCTTTTTCCCGTTTTGGGTCTAGCGAGTCAAGTTGCTTTGTATGTGGCTGACTCTAAGTCTATTCCTAGGGCTTACGATCGAATTTGTAATTGCTGTCTGGATTTTGTCTTGCATGTTTGCTCTATATTAATGAAAAGTCATTTTGATGATAAAAAAACTTTCTCTTTATCTTTATATTCATTTATTATTAAAATATAAATTATTATTAAATGTCTCATCTTGTTTTCTTTCCTTTTCCAATCAAACTTCCTGGCCTTAATAATTTGTCCATTATTAAATATTTTAGGTAATTGTGTTTTATTTTTCTATTTTGAATTTTAAGATGAATATTTATTACTTTATTAAATATTGTGTGTTAATTATTTTAATATTGTTTGTTTTATTACTAACTGGAGTTTTGTTATATTAAAATGTGTATAGTGTTTATAATAATCGAGTAAGCATTATAAAAATAACACGATTAGCTTTATAACTGAAGAACGACAAATTATATATTATTTTACAAATGATTTTGTTATATTTTTCATTGTTATAGATAGTATAATGATAGTTTATAAATTGCTATTACTACGTATATGTTGGGAAAAACTCGAACTTTTCCGCTTCATGAAGTTAAGATAGGCACTTAGTAATCAAGGTAGTAATGTGAGCACACGAGTTAATTAAATTCTCCAATATGGAGATTCTTCCACTATACAAAAGAATAGTAGGATTTACAAGGATGTGTTTACAAAATTGTCTCACTCTTTGATGGCTCACTCAAGCTTGAGGATATGAACTTCCCAAACTATATCTCTACTCTCTCAAAGAGACTCTCTAACTTTCTCACTTAAGAAGTGGATTCACTCTTGCTAGGATGATTTGGAATGAAGCCTTCTACCCCCTATTTATACTACTCCATGATCCGATCCACCTTCACAATGAATGGTAGAGATGATCTGTATCCAATGGTGGAGCTTGAGTCCAGTGGCGGAGCCACTCTTGTTCAAACTAGTTCACATGAACACCCAGTTTTTGTAAAAAATTGTAGGTATATATATGTATAAATTTTATTATATTTATTTATTACCCTTTAAATGTCTATTAAAAGAACATTGAACACCCAAAATTGATACTCCAAATCCGCCACTGCTTGAGTCTCTAGAATGCTCCACATACTCTAGGAGATTATATATTCTTCCACTTCATTACATACTCTTCCATAAGCTTCCGGAAGGTTTCACACATCTTCAGAATATTTTAGAGGATTCCATACTATGTCACAAACTTCTAGAAAGTTCTAGACTTCTCTAGAATTTGTCGGAGCGTTCTAGAAAATTTTACATTTCTCTAGAAAGTTATAGAATTTTTCGGATCCTCTCCAATTAAGGAGGGATCTCAACAGTATACACCTCTCCTCCAGAGCTCCAGCACCTAAAAGTTAATTAATTAATTAATTAATTAACTAACTGGAAAATCTCGCATCTAGCGGTGCATGGTTTATATCATCTTTTATCCATATTAGGGCAATAGCTAGAGAGAAGCCAAAAGTTTTTGCAGTGCCTATATTGTACAACTGGTTGTACGGTGTGAGCCGTACAACTGGTGCCATTTTTGCAATTTTAGTTGAAACCACAATTTCTCTTAATTGAGCATCACTGTAATAGTATTAAGCGTAAGCTTTATTGTGTTGAGTATTATGAGTCTAGTATTGAGCATCGTGATATCTGTTTCATATATTCTAATTCACTTTTTTTTCTATTTTTTTGTTTAATTTATAAAAATTCTTAACTTATATCTATAATCAACTCGTATGATCGGAATTCCAATATGCGAGTCTAATGTAATGTCATACTTTTGAAATATACATTGATATGCAAATCATAAGCTCCACTAGTTAAGCATCAAAACATTAAACATTTGCATTGAACATCAAGCCTCCTCTATTGAGTATATACATTCTTCAGTCTTTTATTGAGTATAAAAATTTCAAAAACTATTGAGCATTCAAAATATTTTTATTATTGTATTCTGCAATATTGAACATTAATATTATATAATTTGAAATATGAATTAATAAGAAAATCGTAAAACATTTTCATTAAGCATCAAACCTCCTTATATTAAACATTCAAAGCATGCAATTGAGTAACATGATCTATGCTCTCATGTCT